CAGAAAGCGTGTTCGATAGAATCAGATCGCACAACAACCCAGCGCTACGCAATCTACACGATGCGTTGAATATGGAAGACCCCAGATTCCGAGAAAGGGACAAACACCCAAGGCCGACAAAGCAGAATCTACGACCGCCCCCACGAGTCGCCGTCAGGCGACTCCGGTAAGCATATTAATCAGACTTTCTTTCAGCAAGTTCACCGCAGAACAACTCGACCGCGATTCAGTTATCCTTAGATTCAATGAGGAACCCTCGACGCTAATAACAATAGCCGCCGGTTAGTAGGGTTGATACATTTCAAGTCTATTAGCTTTCTTGTGCAGTTTAATTTCTGAATACGATTTCCGTTGACCGATTCATTCGTATACACAATGGAATCCATAAAAGACATACTCTCAGGTCAAGAACAAAATAAAAAATTTGTAGTTTCACATATGAATACTACTGAAACGAATATTCCGGTTTCTTATGGTAATGCACAAGACATGCCCCCAGTTGAAGAACAAAATCAACAAATTGTAGTCACAGATGAATGGCACTGAATCGAATATTCCTACTTCTAATGACACTGGTAATGCAAATGATAAAAAACTATTCGTTGGCGTTGGAGGTATGCATTTTCAAATCGGAAATGAGGAGCTGAGACAACATTTCGAATAATATGGCGATATCAAACAGATAAAAATCAAATTGGACCCTATTACTGTACGGTCGAGAGATTTTGGATTCATTGTTTTCAAATCGGCAGAAGCGTTGAGCAAAATCGAAGCGCCAGGCGACTACGTAATCAACGGAAAACAGGTTGACCCACAAAAAGCCAAAGGCAGAAAAGGTGAAATATTCGTTGGGGGTTTAAGCGCAGGTCTCACCGAAGATGATATCAAGTCACATTTCACATAATTTGGAACTATAGTGGAAGTACACAAGGCTTTCGACAAAATGAAAAACATGAGAAAGGGGTTTTGTTTCATAACGTTCAAATCTGACAAAGTCTTTGAGGTTTTGAGGGAAAGAAGTCGACTTTAGGAAAGCTTCTTTGCAATCTGAACAAACGCATAGATCAACAATGAGGGGCCGCAGTTTTCTTGGAGATATAGGCAATATGAGAGGAGGTGGAGGAACTTATGGAGCGCCAGGTTTCTATCAAGGTTATGGGCCGCAGGTTTTAAGCTATAACACTATACATGGAATCAACAATGGTAGTAGATTTGTACAAGCTATGAGGGGACGCGGTACCCTTAGTAGTCGAGGACCCATGCGAGGTGGAAAACGTAACTATGGGGGTTTGAATCATACATGCGAGCCACATAACTTGAATTATGCCAATGAGCAAGGATTTATCTATGGGGGAAGATTTGAGACAGGACCCGCTCAAACGTAGAAGGGTACTCTTGATAGTCGAGGTGTTTTTCGACGCCGAAGGTATGGCGAACGGTACCAACCGTACTAGAGGAGATATATCAAGAGACTCTTATGTAATATATCACCATGAATTTGTACATATATTATCATAAATAAATGTGTTTTGCATACTATAATTTATTTCGTTATCTTTTAGTTGGTATTTCAAGTAACTGTGACAGATTCAAAAAATAAACAACTTGGTATTAGTATAGTAAAGACTCACAACGGTTTAGCTTGCCGAAGTTTAACCTACATAGCCGTAACGAATAATACCCACAGGCTCTGAATAATTTATAGCAAGGACAAAAAACGGCGAGAAGTTTGTATTTTCAGTACTTACTTGAAGAGTATTTTCATTGAAGCTTCAGAACTTCAGAAGCTTCTAGAGACTAGGGAAAAGATGTAGTAAATATCAAATTCATATGCATACAATATTGAAACAAACCAGAAAAAAAGCGTTCATAGGATTATACTTTTTTAGTTTGTGTATTAAATTTCGTTTTGGAAATTGAAACAAATATGTATTGAACAGGTTCAAATTTTTTGTAAATATTTTGACTATTTGTCAGTGTCGAATACAGCTGTTGATGTTACAGTGAGTCTCCTTTTATTATTCAAGTACGGAATTGACATTTTCACCGTTTTCCTCCATCATCTAAGAATTTGAAAGAGATTGGAAATCCTATTTTTCCTTAGAATCGTGAAAAGGCACTGGAATAACTAATAAATCTTTAGGTAGGTGTTTTTTATCATTTCGAGAAAATTTCAAACAATTTTTTAGAAAGACTTTTTGTTTAAAGTGTGAATCGCTCCGTTTGATGAATAGTTCTTTGAATAATTCCAGACAGTTGTCACTCAAAAAAAACATCTTAAATAATAGTTTATAGAGGAATAGCTTATTCACTGGGTTTGTTATCCATTCCAATCAAATGAATTTTGTTAGATAGAATTCAATTTGTCCTAATCAAAATGTTTGTGTAAGCGTGATACCCACACATTTCCTCTTCAATCGAGCCAATAAGCCCATATTAGAATAATAGACACTATGGGATGTCAGAAAATTCAGGGTTTGACTATTTGATTTCTATCGGAAATCTGTCTGAAAAAAATCTGTTTAAAATCTGTTTTCCGTTAACCAGCTGTCGCACCCCTACGAATGACAACCCTCAAAAGTCGAAACTTGTGCGAGCTAAGTATTAACGAGGTCTTACCTTTTAATGTGTGATTCCTAACAAATGTATCTTATTCTTGAAGAAAGTATGATGAAGCCGATAAATAAAAAAATAAGGATATCTTTTCGAAAGAATAAGTTTATTTGGTCTGAACTGGACTGATTCTGCAGTTATGTCAGCTTATGTCACAAAATGAGTTCTTTATGTCCTTCTCGATCAAATGGAATGAAAAATGTTTGAACAAATAACTTTGAAAACAATGTTTTTTTGCTTAATTTTTTATTTTGTTGTAATTTCTTTTCAAGGTTTTTTTGCTTAATATAATTGTTATGTTCAGCTAGTCTTTTTGATTTTAATTTTCATTTGTTATTTCAGAGATTTCAAATCATATCATATTAGACAATGAAAGTCCGAACTAATGAAACTGTCCGATTCTATTATTTCCAGTGTCGTTGGGTTCTCACAGTACCCCATTCCATGGCATATATCTAGATAACTTAAATCTAAGGGAATGAGGTCTGGACAGTCACGACATCATCGCTAATTTTAATTCTGTTTCTTCAACTTTTTTAAGAAACGTTTCTTTCGGCCACCTTCTCGATAATTAAATGTCAGTCATGTTGAGAAATATCATAACATTCGAAATTTTCAAAGAAACCTGACATAAGTCAGGCAAATGTTATATAATCATGAATGGACTGCCCCGTTATTAGATGAAAATTGATAATACTATTCCTGACAATAATTACACAAACATGTTTGTGAAAATTGTGTAAGTTGCTTTCAGCCAGTAGATTGTAGAAGACAGTCCGATTCACTGATCCAAAGAAGAGAGAGTTTTCAAAGAGAACTTTCGAAAATAGGACGTTATATATAAATCGATATATTTCTGGACGGTCTACTGTGAGAAACCAACGATACTGAAAAAAAAAATTGAATCAGGAAGGAAATTTTTTGCTATCCCAACTTTTTCATACTTTCTTCAAGAATTTTATTCATTTCCGATAGAAATCGAAAAGTTAGACCTTGAATTTTCTGAAAGCTCATTGTGTCTACTAATCTGAAATGTATATAGTATGAAGAAAATAACTTTTGTCTGATTTCTACTAAGTTTTTTATTTCTCACGGCCGGTTTCAGTTTATTAAACCATTCTCAAGTAACTAATACATTTTGTCAAATATACGATTATATAGTTAGGTACCCGAAATAACAAATATTACCTGAATTATCCATACCAATACTACAACAATAACTATTTATCTTCTATAATATATCAAGGTTACCAACTATTAATCCCCAAAAAACCAAAAACTAGTCAAAATTCACAAATTCAAAAGGGGAGAGCTGCATAGTTCTAGTTGATCTTTGAAGGTTTTGAAATTGGGGTGTTTATACAATTTATTGATTTCTAATGCTCCCAACAAATTCATCTCCCTTCCTTTATTGCACTTATGGAGAATTTTCACGTTTTCTTCATTTGTTATGTGATTTGTTTCTTGTAGATGTCCATATATAGCTGATTTTTCTATCTAATAATACATGCTCCCGGTATCTTATGTTGAAATTTCTGCCTGTCTGGCCTGTATAAGCTGCTGAACAGTTATCACATTCTAATCTATATATGCCAGATTTTTTCTGAAATGGCCTTGTTGGTTCGGATGGCACTGACAAAGACATTTTGATTGAGAGAAGTTAAATTTTATTTAACAATATTTATTTGGATGAATAAAAAAATTCCCAGTTAATGAATAATTTCTCTAAACTATTATATGAGTGCATGTTGAGTGACAGCTGTCTGAACTTGTTCAATGAACTTATCAAACGGAGCGATTCACACTTTGAATAAAATGATTTGACTCCAAAAAAATGTTCAAATTTTTTTCGATATGAACAAAAAGCCTTCCTGATGAATAATCAGTCGTTTCACTACTTTTTAACAATTCATTTAAAAACTATGCATGCTTCACTGACTCTTATTCTCAGGAAAAAAGGCTTCCAGTGACAAATATTAGAAATATTTGCAAACATTTGAACGTGTTCCAGAAATACTTGTTTCAATTCCCGACACAACTTTTCTTCTAGTTTGTTTCAATATTATAGCACAATCTATTTTCTATAAGCTTCTGAAGTTCTAAACAGAAATGAAAATCATCTTCAAGTAAGGGTTGAAAATACAAACTTCACGCCGGCTTTTGTCCTCTTTCAAAAATGTTATTCATTTTAAGCCTGTGAGTATCATTGTTCACGAAAATTCTAGGTTTTACGAAATATCTAGAGTTACCAACATGTTGGTCTTTACCCAATTCGAGTATATCTTTATCTATTTAAGGTGAACTTTGGTGACCTAAATCGATGTGAGTTTCAACTATACTAATATAGTTTTTTTTTTTAATTCGTCAATAAGAAAAGAAATCAATAGTACATTACAAATAAAATTCATTAATGATTTTATATACATACAAATTCATAATTAGTAAACATTGTGATACATTTCATAAGTGTCTCATCATATATCTTCTCTAATACGGTTGGTACAGTTGGTACGGTCGGTACGGTCGGCCATTACCTCGACCATCAAAGGTATGGCGTCCTCTCATAGCATGTCCACATCTAGCATTGTCAACTCCTCGTATACTGTTATAGCTGAAACGCTGTGGTCCATAACTTCGATTGAAACCCGGCCCTCCATAATTTTCTTTCCCTCCTCTCATATTGCCTATATGTCCGCAGCATTTCATTGTTGAACTACTCGTTTGTTCAGATTGCAATGGAGCCTTCCGAATGTCGACTTCTTTCCATTTGATTTTTTGTTTCGGAGTTTGTAGCAAATCCTTAACAACCTTGTCAGATTCGAATGTTATGAAACAAAACCCCTTTCTCCTATTTTTCATTTTGTCGAAAAGCATTTGTACTTCCACTATAGTTCCAAATTGTGCAAAATGTGACTTGATATCATCGTCTGTGAGATCTGCACTTAAACCCCCCACGAATATTTTACCTTTTCTGCTCTTGGCTTTTTGTGCGTCAACCTTTTTTCCGTTGATTACGTGGGCGCCTGCCGCTTCGATTTTGCTCAACGCTCCTGCTGATTTGAAAACGATGAATCCGAAACCTCTCGACCGTCCAGTAATAGGGTCCATATTGATTTTTATCTCTTTGATATCGCCATATTGTTCAAAATGTTGTCTCAGGTCCTCATATCCGGTTTGAAAATGCATACCTCCAACGAAAAGTGTTTTATCATCTGCATTACCAGTGTCATTAGAAGCGGGAATATTAGATTCAGTGCCGTTCATCTGTGACTCTACAGTTTGTTGATTTTGACCTTCAACTGAGAGTATGTCTTGTGCATTGCCATCTGTATTACCAGTGTCATTGGAAGCGAAAACATTCGATTCACTACCATTCATCTGTGAATCTATAAGTTGTTGATTTTGTTCTTCAACTAAGGGTACGTCTTGTTTGGATTCCATTGCGTATACTTATAACCGAAATTACATTCAGAACTTAAACTTGCACTGTGTCAACAACCGTAGAGTTCTTATTTTTCAATATTCGAATTTCAAAGCGAGTGGATGTGTATAGATTTTGCTCCCTGGTTTTACCCTTGAAATGACTGGGTCTTCAGTTCACCGATATACCTTATCATCATTAAAAACGAACCAATCGTTTTTGCCTGAAGAAAAACGCATCAAGCACATTCCACCGATAAGCAATTGAAATAGGTGATTGTCACTGTAAATCACACATCCGATATCTACGAATTATGACCTCTAAATTACATGAAACTATATTGAGAAAAACCGTAATAAGAACAAAGAAGAGATGAAACAGAAAATCAGATCTGAAAATAAAAAATTTGTTGCGAAATTATGACAACAATCAGCTAATATCGCTAACTTGGAAAAAAATATTGATATTTTAGAAAACAAAAAGTGCCACTTGGAGAAATTTATCAAAAAAAATTTGATATTTAGTCTTGAAATTATTCAAACGGACTTGTTGCTAACGCAAACAATTGAGGAGTTCAATGAGTTACTGGGGATTCACATATTAGAGTCGGATATTAGTAATATTTATCAATTAAAAAAATGAGACACTAACTCATCCAATAAAAAATTAATTCACCAGACTTTCAACAAAAGATCTAGTTCTCCAAAATTCCTACAAACTCAAAGAAAAACAAATATTGTTGAAACATCGGAACAAGGCAATAGCACAGCAGTTTAATGATAAAATAAGAGGAAATACTCTGCAAGTAAGTGGAGAAACATACACGGTCGACCAACTGAAAGTAATAAATGACGATACGCCAGAGACAAGAAGTATATCAACTAGTGCTACCGATTCTCCCACATATCATCCCCATCTGCTGGATGAGGCCAGAGCATTAGATAATTGTTTCGAAACAGCGCTTACCAAACTCAAATCACTTGAAGAAAAAGTGATACCTTGATACCGAAAAGACACAAAAAAATGAGGAACATGTAAAGCATTCCGTATCCAACCCAGTGTCCAGCTATAAAAGTTGACAAATCTACAAGATATCAGCGAAGGTTTCAAAAATTCCTGTTCTGATCGTTGTTTTTATACCGTATATAATCATATTTTCAATTATATATGTTTATAATGTCTAAATCATTAAAAATTGCTCACTTAAATATGAGACCTCTTATCCCAAAATTTGATGTTTTTGAGGCTCATCTATAATCACATATTTATTCTGTATTAGGGCTGACATCAACAGTGAATGATGAATCATTAGAGAAAGATAGGTAGACATTAGATAGATAATGAAAGATAGACGTTCGGGAGGAGGGAGTGGTATTTGTTTCTCCATTAGCAAAACCCTCAAACATAGCATAATCATTACGCTACATTCAGTAACCGAACAATTGTGGATTGAACTGCACATAAATACTCAAGTGTTAGTGATTATGTTTGTGTACAGACCACTAAATACTCCTAATGAGTTCATCACCGACCTAGAACATAAGTTTTCCTCATTCATCTCAAAATATGATGAACTTATCTGTTTGGGTGAGTTTATTATTGATATGCTATCAGTCAACAATCCATCTTCTAAAAAAACTCAATTGTATGCTTGACGCCTGCTCGTCATCTTGATTTCTTTCAGGCTGGAGCCTTGCTCCCCTACCCTTTGGGCTGGTTGCTTGAAGCCTGCTGACTTTCACAAATCATTGAGCCACCTACCCGTACTATACTCTCCATTATACTCTCCATTCGATTCTTATTGATTTAACTATCAGAAGCAACGTTGAAAACTTTGTGGAATGCGCTGCTGTTGAACTCATATATGCTGAGTTAGTTATGTCGGCTGGAATAATTTAAAGTTATTAGGGAAATTTCTCTCAAGGGAATTTCCACTTAGATATCCGACACGTTCCACTCCCTTTCTAGGCATATTTCTAGATAACAGAAATCTAAAGAAATGAGGTCTGGATAGTTCACGACACCATCGCTAATTTTTATTGTTTCTTCAGCTTTTGTAAGATATGCTTCTTTCTTCCACCTTCTCGAAAATTGAATGTCGAGAAGATGTTGAGAATTTTCATAACATTCCAAATTTTAAAAGTTATTTGTTATAACTGAGACCATCTAAATTTCTGTCAAATGTTATCAAAGTTCGATTCTCTGATTCAAACCAGCGACTCACACAACGTTCGATTGAGAGAGTGAACACCCACGTCGGTAGCAAGGCTGTTCGACATGGGTGCTTTGTTCATTCTCTCAATCGACCGAAATGTGAATCGGTGGTTCAAGCCGCAGGCTGAACGAATGATTTTCATTTGCTATTATCCAAGGAATCACATTTTGAAAGGTAAGAACTCGTTAGTCTTTAGTTCGCACAAGTTTCGACTGAGGGTTGTCGTTCGTAAGGGCGCGACAGTTGGTTAAGGGAAAAATATATTTTGAACATATTTTAAAGAAAACAGATTTCAAGAACAGGACGTGTGAAGCACAAGAAGTAAACAAATCGTTTAGTTCAAACCTGTCACAAAAGGTGCAAAATCCTCCCTAATATATAAATTGAATTACAAATAATATATTTCTAGAGGGCCAACTGTGAGAAACCAACCATAGTGAAAAAAAAATTGAGCCAGGGAGGGAATTTTTTACTCTATCGACTTTTACACACCGATGGGTAAGAGGACAAATTTTGTATGTCCAAAGAGGTACTTTTGAGTAAAATCGATTCAAAAGTTGAGCTCACTGTGGCGAGCCTGCATAGTTTGTTTTCAGTAGTGCAATAGTAATTCATTTCGTCTAACAACTTTTCTCTCGTTAGTATTCAGTTTTTTCCTTGACTTACTGGTAATATTCGCCAAATTTCTGTCATTTAATTCAATAACCGTAACCGATCACTTGGACGTACAGTAATTGTAACTTAGGTTATGGACATACAATATCATATACTGAATGTCCTTAATCTCATTATCCTTAATAAAATGTTATGCCATTGAATAAATAATGTCAAAATGGAAAAGGGTTATAGTGATATAATTAAAATATTTTTTATGAATTCAATTGTACATAACAATAAGTTCAAACAAAATACAAAAAAATCAGTCAGTTTCGTAATCAGGTTCACCTCTAGCCGCTGCAGATATAGGTAACGCCTCCACAAAGTTTCCAAATTCCTCAGGGATTACTATTTTTCGCGTAGTAAATAAAGTTGGTCTTTTCTTTTACTATTTGAAATTGTCAGGATATTACTATATTGTGGTACGTACGCTACGGATATCTTCAAATGTTTTTCGTGTCCTCCTTCTTTTATTAGTACCTTCTTGAATTTTAAATGTCAAAAAATCTTCACTTGTGACATCATACTTAAATAGAATGATTGGTGGATTTGCTTTTGTGAAACGTAACCATTTAATTTGTAACCATTTGTCTTGATAACCGCTTGTGTCACAAGTAGTATTTATCAAAACTGATGCCAACTGGTTTAGTTTATAGAAATCAGAGTAAGTCAGATGTTCAACTATGTACCGGTGAGGATTCATTCTTGCCCCATTCACGGGGGGTGTATACCTTCTTATATCTTCGAGCACGTTCTATAGTGGCGTGCATAGAATCCACTTCAAGGTATGTATGTCCCGGCTCCAAATATTTTAGATCTATTACCTCAAGGTGATCTATTGTAGAATTGCCAAACACTGTCAAACAGCAGATCCGTTTTTGCCCTGTGTCTTATCCCACAGATATGAATAACCATCTGCCTTGTACAAATCAAAAATGGTAAAATTATGAACGGAAAGTTTGTGTCTATAATAGATTTGGTTCTCATCAGCATGTGTGTTTGTCAGCCGCATTCAAGTCCATTTCACCTTTCTCCCTTTTTTTATGTGCCTCCCTGTTACTTCTCAAATCTGTTTCATCTGCAGCATTGTCAGAAACGTTACATGTTACGCACTGATATTTTGGGTTTATAAAATTAAGGGTGGATCATAACTATGAAAGATCGTTCGATACGTCACACTAATATTTAAGTCACTTGATAGGTAATACCTCATAGTATCACGATGGCGGTAATGCGATTACATTCGGGGAAACATCGATATGAGATTTAATACGACGTACTTGCACGTCGAATGTAATATTCCGAGCTGGTCTTTCTTTGCGATGGTCAAAGCCAATATGAACACCTCTGTCCTCACGATATTTCAATGCAGTTTCGACTACTTGGAAACTAAATGCAAATGTACCCCAAAAATATTTTTGACACACCGTCACATGTTCCTAAGTCGCATTCAGTAAGTGATAAAAACGGCTGTGTGTCCTAGTTTTTTATCTCTCTTTCAATATTTTTCTCATCCACTAAAGAGCATAGAAACATTTTTTGACTCATTGCATCAGCATCAGCAAGTATATTCAATATACAAAGGCAGCAAGAATAATGTTATGTGATAGTTTACTTTTGTGTACACCAAATTTTGCTGATTCAGTGTACGGTCCCTGCTTAAAGAAGGCAATATGAACAAAAAAACTAAAAGATTCAGAACTCATGTTTACGTCTCATTCATGAAGTTCGAAGGCGAGAAAGTATTACCAATAAATTGGTTGAAACGGGTTGGTTGAATATGGCAATGCATTTACTTTATGAAATTTACTTATCTGAAAACATTTCATTTCGAACTGATGTTTATACAATCAATATTCGATTTAAAGGTATTTCAACGCCACCAATTCATTATCATGAATTATTTAAATGATCCTTCAGTTACCAAATTGGCTACGTGTACAACGGTATAACAAAAGAAATTGAAAAAATGAATGTGTTATACAAAGGTATAACAAAAGAAATAAAAAAAATGAATGTGATCATTTCTTCAATTCGGACTTCCATTGTCTAATATGATATAAATTGATTTCAAATCCCTGAAATAATCTGTAAAAAAATTAAAAAGATTAGCTCAACAATAACAATTTTATTAAGCAAAAAAAACTGAAATTACAATGAAATAACATACAAGCAACAACCAAATTAATACTAGCTGAAAAAATTAAAAATCATTAACAAGAACTGAAAATTGATAATTAAAAGATTCCAAACCAAGTTACTTTACGATGTTTCGATTGTTAGTATCCACAATCGTCTTCACCCGAAGACGATTGTGTATCCATAACGGTCTTCACCATCCATAATGGTCTTCACATCTTATTAACTCTTTTTTTTTAGTTCTTTCAGGGATTTCAAATCATTTTTTATATAATATCAGACAATGGAAGTCCAAACTAATGAAATTCATCATGAAACATTGTCAATCACCTTAAAACAAACGAAGAGTACTCTTCTTCGTTTGAGTGGGCCCTTTCTCGAATCTACCCCCATAGATAAATCCTTGCGCATTGACATAATTAAAGTTATGTGGCTCGTATGAATGATTGAAACCACCCCCATAGTTACCTTTTCCACCTCGCATGGTTCCTCGACCACTACCGCGTTCTCTCATAGCTTATACAAATTTACTACCATTGCTGACTTCTTGTATACTGTTATAGTTGAAACCCTGTGGTTCATAAGTTCGAATTGGGTGGACGTTGATAATTCTAGATATTTCGTAGAACTAGAATTTTCGTAACCAATAATACCCACATGCATAAAATAAATTATATTTATGAAAGAGACCCAACACCTGCCTGAAGTTTGTATTTTCAGCACTGAAGATGATTTTCATTTCTGTTCAGAACTTCAGAAGCTTATAGAAAATAGGAAAAAGAAATATATAAATCAAAATTATCTACAGGTTCTATCAATTCGAAACAAACCAGAAGAAAATAAAAAAAAAACTAATCAATAGAGTTTATTCTATGATTTTCACCATAAGGGTTTTACAAAAATCGCGACACGTCTTTCGCTATACAATAGCTTCTTCAAGCATAACTAAGAGTTACTTCTAAATTACAACCTTATATACTATAACCTAGTACCTATTCGTCTACTTAAGTAATAAATCTACCTGAAAAAGTCAGGTATCAATACATTTTTCGAAAGTCTACCTGTAAATATACCTGGCCACTCGTCAGTGCAAGGTAGTGTATATCATCAACATAAAGTCGATGATTTCCGATAATTGAAAATCGAATTCCGTCAGAGACAAACCTGTTGTTTGTTGTAGTCTTCAGCTTAGTTCGAGGAATGATACTCTGAAGCAATTCGATTTTCAATTATCGGAAATCATCGACTTTATGTTGATGATAGACACTACCTTGCACTGACGAGTGGCCAAACAGCCCGAAACCTGTCTGCAAGTGTGTTCCAATAATTGAAAATCTATGGTGGCAATTGTATCTTCAATAGCATATGCAGGAATAACTTCTGTGAAGAATCCTGCACTGACACCTGTCGGATATAATCCAACGCCCTTCGTGGTATTAGCCAGGGGAGTAGTTGTTTTCTGATAGGTGTCAGTCCATTAACCTACTGTGTAGGGTGTTGAGACTGGCCTGAACGAATTGTTCCTTTAGATGATTTGATTTATAGCCAGTCTTCAAGTATGCCCACTGACTATACGTGAAAGATTTTTTTCCTTTTACGAGGAATTGGGCAAATTTGGATATGCAGTTGGTTACCTCGTTCACAGGCAGATGGAGCGACGACAAACCTGTTGTTTGTTGTAGTCTTCAGCTTAGTTCGAGGAATGATACTCTGACGGAATTCGATTTTCAATTATCGGAAATCATCGACTTTATGTTGATGATAGACACTACCTTGCACTGACGAGTGGCCAAACAGCCCGAAACCGGTCTGCAAGTGTGTTCCAATAATTGAAAATCTATTGCGGCAGTTGTATTGCCAACAGCATATGCAGGAATAACTTCTGTGAAGAATCCTGCACTGACACCTGTCGGATATAATCCAACGCCCTTCGTGGTATTAGCCAGGGGAGTAGTTGTTTTCTGATAGGTGTCAGTCCATTAACCTACTGTGTAGGGTGTTGAGACTGGCCTGAACGAATTGTTCCTTTAGATGATTTCATAGAATAAACTCTATTGATTGGTTTTTTAAATATGGATTTTCATCAAGTATCGGCCAGTTCTATTCAATTACAGAAGAAAATTGTTTATAGAATTATATACAAATTACTTTTCCATTCTCAGTTTGTGTACTAAATATTTCGTGTTTGAAATTGAAATAAATATTTATTGAACACGTTCAAATTTTTGCATCAATTTCTTATATTTGTTAATATCTGAAACAGTCAATAAAATATAAAAAAATACTTAGCTCAAGTTGCTGTAAATGGTTATTAGAACAACTCCCAACTTTCATTATCTCCATCATCTAAGAATTTGAAACAGATTGGAAAGCCTTTCTTTCCTGAGAATAAACCTTTCTTTTCTAAGAATAAGCAGTGGGACGACTGACAATTCTTAAGGGAGGCGTTTATTTTCATATCATGTCGAAAAATGTTTAAACAATTTTGTTCAAAATGAAAATCGCTTTGTTTGACAAGTACGTAGTTCATTGAACAAGTTCAGATCGCTGTCAGTCGGCATACACTCAAAGAATCTACCCTATATACTAGTTCAGAGGAATAAATCATTCACTGGGGACTTTTTCATCCATTCTGATCAAATAAATAAAGTTAGGTAAAATTTAATTTCTCTTCATTGAAATGAATTTTGTCAGTGAAAGCCCCATACATTTCCTCTTCAACCGAACGATATTTTTTAGCACTGTGGAGGCACACGCATTTCATCTCGGAATTGTTGGGGCGCAGTAGGTAGGTGTTTTTAATACTTTAGCAAATATTAATGGACATTTTTAACCACGCATGGCTGATCCAAAGCCAATCAGGTAATCAAACTAGGTTTTCTGGGGGTTCAGCTCTTTGTCTATTCTGGTAATGGTCAAGCCAAAATATGTTTGAAGCTACATTGTTCATTCACTGATTCATCTTGCATTTAAATTTGAACAAAATAAATAGAGATGACATTACCAAAGCAATGTCGTATCATTTGTCTCCTTAAGATATTTCAGTAAAAATACATTCCACTAAAGAATATGGGATAATACCGAGGTTATCATAAAGTTTTTTCTTCAATTTCAGCACGCTGTAGTTGAAACATCGAGACTTTTATGATAAATAGCCAAATATTTATCCAAAAACATCCTTGAATGTTATTATGAAACTACAAGATGTATTTTTTGCCGGTATTTTTACTGAAAATAATATCAGGAATTACCCTAGACGAAGTTCTTGGCTGAGTAAAACCGTTATATTGAAAGTAAATATTAAAATGTGAATTGGACGAAAAAACTCATGAAACAATGCTGTTTCTATCAGAGCTGTATTTGTTAATCACCTTAAATTGAACAATAATCTCAGAAATGCTTTTTTCAAAGACTGAATGTCTTTGAAAAAAGCTAGACTAGTAGTCCGGTAAAATTAGACCAAAAAATGAGAGTAAAGCTACCTAAATTCCCACCAAGCTGAAAATTAGTAAGAACAAGAAGATCAAGAAGAAGAACAAGATGAAAAATTTGAAAGTTACGGCTCGGACGATTGAATTTCACTACTTTTTTTACCTTAAATTGCTTTTATCTTTTCAATCTTTGCTAATATCCATTATTTTGTAATAGTTTCAGATTAAACAGGATCACAACTGACCCGTGGAATAGGCCTACTGGGGAAACCACGTTAAAAAAAACGCGCTAAGTACACTACCTCATAGGTGGCAGGGAAACGTGTGCATATTATGACGATTACAACTTTTACAACTTTTTGAATCCTTATATCTCGGTGGCTCGTAGGATGAAAGTATTGATACATTTTTTGTATCATAGATCATATCATGATCTACAATTTTGTCAAAAGTATTTTTATGATAAAACTCACCGTTTTGCTGAAAATCGCGAAAAACTAATTTTTTCACCTTTGACCTTGAATAAAATTTTTTCCATACAGGAGAAAGATGGGGAACTTTCAAATTTTATTTTTGATCAGATTTCAAACAATCTTACTGATTTTCAGCTTGTTGAGGATTTAGGTAGCTTCGAATGTCCAGATTGACTGAACTATAGTGCATCTACTGAAAATATCTTTCCCACACCAGAACTGTCTTTCGATTCGCGTATCGCTTATGCAGTGTGCGAGAGGTTCCATTCATACCGTTTCAGGTTAGTGCATCTAAATACATTCATTGTTCAGTTTTCAATCTCTTAAACAATATAAATTGGAAGGTGTCAACTTACCGCGTGTGGACTGTGATCATACAACTTTTTCAAGGAAGGGTGCAGTTCGGAACCCTTACCAATATGCATCAGAGAAGCATTCGAAGGTCTTGATGTCTTATGCCTTCTAAATCCGCGAGGATCATCCGACCTGAAAAAAAATATAACTTCTGTGAAGAATCCTGCACTGACACCTGTCGGATATAATCCAACGCCCTTCGTGGTATTAGCCAGGGGAGTAGTTGTTTTCTGATAGGTTAAAATTTGTGGACAGAACACTTAAAAAAGGAGCAAACCGCGGACACGTGTTTCTGGCTATTGGCCTCATCAGCGCGGTGCAGCCAATTGCAAAGATGGACAACAACTGGTTACCAAAAATGAAAAACTTCACATATGCACAGTGTCACCAACAGGAGGTAACCGCACATTTGTGGTTTCAATTAGAAGACCTAGCATTCCCAGGCATCATCTAACATCACCACGTAGGCAGCTATAGCTACCTGCCAGTTTTTGAGTGTTCTGTCCACAAATATATATATATTGCAGTCAAGCTGCTGGAAAATAATTCCATGAAAATCAAAAAATTAATAGATAAGTACTGTATTGATAATTCCCATATTGATTTTAATTCAAGAGCCACCGGTAGACAGCTGTTTCAGCCTATCGGTCATCGTCAGAACCGGGCAGGCGGTCTTCGATTTAAGACAAAATGTGAATAATCAGTTATTTTTATTAACTACTTTTCTTGATTCAGTAAAATAAATTAACGGAGTCTCCCAGTCAAAAAATCGAAACTCTGCTTTACTTTGCCAAGCTTTCGCTTCTAATGGGAACCTTCTTCAGGGCCTATGATTCATGGTGTATCAATCAACTCTCCCTTTAGAGTCAAAGATTATCAAATCATCATGCCCATTGAAAATTGAGAATTATGTGAAGGTATGACATTTGTCAAACAAAAAAAATACATCAATGTTTAACTTTCTTTCGTCGATTTATTAGTTCAATTCATTGTTTTTTACTCATTTTTACTGTAATTATGAATTGTAATGTTATTCATTGGTAAAAAAACCACAACTCAATAAATTATAGGCCCTGAAGAAGCTTCCCATTAGAAGCGAAAGCTTGGCAAAGTAAAGCATAGTTTTCATTTTTTGACTGAGAGACCCCGTTAATTTATTTTACTGTACATATCTCCAGTTGCTAAGATATTGACATTTGTTAACAAAAAGGATTTGAAGCTTCAATAACTTCTACTTAGTATATGCGAGCGCTTTCGGCTGGCTCCGTGCATTTCTTTCTTTTGGTAACCAAGTGTTGCCCATCCTTACACTTGGCTGCACCATACTGATGATGAGCCAAAAGCCCGAAACACGTGTCTATGGTTTGCCACTATCTAGAGTGCTATGCCCGATACGATCATTATTATGATTTAATATCATGCATAGTAGTCGAACAGAATTTCTCACCTGTGACTATCCAACTGATCTCTGTCGTTGGGGGTGAGATCTTGATCTTCTGGCTGGGTTGAAATTCTTCTACCCTTAATGAATCCTGAACCATCCGATTTTTCGCTGTGATGTCGCTTTCTATGTGGAACGTCGGGCAGAGAATATTTTCGAAATTTGGAATGGTGACCATGGTGATGTCGTCTGAAATAAAAAATACTTTTTTAAGCGAAACTGATCATCAGAAAGTAAATCGAGCTACTACACAAAAAATTCAAATAGTTGAAATAAATTAAGCGTTAGTTGCTAAGTGTTGTAATGAATAAATTACTTTGTGATTATTGAAATATTGTTGGAAATAAATTTGTTAAAGACAGTTAATTCATTAAGTTTACCACAGTATCTAGAGACAAATCTCCACCCTTTTTTTTAATGTTCCAGGCTATCAAAGTTGCACGTGATGTTCGTGTCTCTAATCAAGAGGAGGTTCTTTTCTGGATGGAATCCAGCAACTTCAGGGTATGTTTGGGGGCAGAGGTCCATACATGAGAACAATACTTCATAGAAGGTTTGATGTGAGCTTTCTAAAGCATCAAAAGTTGCTGAGATGTGTACAGTTTTCTGGTTCGGAACAATGTTCCAAGCTTTTGAGAAGCAGCCTTTGCAATTCCAGCGATATGATGTGCCAAGACATAATGGTTTCCATTTTAATCCCCAACAAACTTATTGAAGCAGAAAGAGGAGTTGTCTGACCTAACATTAATATATCCGGTTCGGAGACGTTTATCTTCTTGAAGAAAACCGATGCCTGGGTTTTTGTGGCATTGAATAGAACCTGGTTATTTTCACCCTAATTCGAAATCACTTCTAGATCCTTAATGAGATATGCCACCTCCTGCTGCCGGTGAAGATGTGCCTCCGTAACCGATGTCCTGGAATCCAAATGTCGAAACAAGTGTGCTGTCATCAGCAAAGCAATATATTGAATTCTTGTTTTTTTTTCAATAATCCTTACACAGAAATGATCCGACAAGTCATAGCATCGAAGTTTGGCCAGCAAACCCTCATGCCACATGTGGTCAAAAGCCTTAGAAATATCAAGCGCAACAGCTCTAGATTCTCTCTGTTTCTTGATTGCGTTATTCCAAATATGACTGACATACGATAGAAGGTCACCTGTTGATCTTTGTTTCCGAAAGTCATATTGATGATAGCTCAAGATGTTGAAGCCTTCCAAATATTTGAGGATATGGTGGTTTACGATTTTTGATATAACTGTTAGCAAAGCGACTGGTCTATCATTGTATGGAAGATTTTTCTTGCCCTTTTTGGGCATAGGCTGAACGCGAGCAATCTTCCAACAAGAAGGAAAAACCACTTTCTTGTAAGACAGGTTGAAGATTCTTCAAAATACTGATGCAAATTCATTTGCGCACTTTTTTAGGGCCAGACGCCTTGTTGATATTGAACTGTTTCAAAATTCGCCTGACTAGACGTTGTCGAAAAGTAGTTTTCGGCATTGTGGATTCCAGTGTGGGAATAGTGGGTGGTGTCTTTCCAACAAAATCGATTGTGGAGTGGTACGCAAATTGTTCAGCTAGTAGATTTGATTTTTCCATGGCAATTGAACCATATGTTGTTTTTTGTCCGTTCAGAAAGGTTGTTTGACATTTAGCACATGTTGCCATAGGGATAATTTGACGTCACGATACGTTAAAACAGTCTGTTGTATAAAAGAGTCTGAGAAAGCTATTGAATAACGAAACGCATGTTGCGGTTTTGTCCCGCGAAAATCTCACAATAAAGTGTTACTTGAATACGTTATAGATTTTGTTGTATTGTAAAAAACATTTCTGCATAGAGAAAAGAGCAGATCTGTCACAGGCCATTACAGCGGCTTCACACAAAGTTCAGAGGGACAGTTGGTTTGATGACTCAACAAAGTTAACATTTATTGGATGTCACCAAACGCAATTATCAAGTTTGAAGAGAAAAAGTTAGGGATCGGGAACTTTTTCGAACACAATACACACGTGCATGTTCGCTATCTCTTTTCCTACATTTTCGATCCGCTCATAGTTTACTATATTTCCTCACACTTCACAAACCAACCAGACACATTCGATCTTTTCTTGCGAAGAAAAAATGTTACCAAACTCATATGAGAAAAGCAAAACCTTTTTTGTTGGAAGAACATTCTTGTCTAGGCAGTTTCGTTATGTATAGGTAGAGCCAAGAAACTGACATGAATGAAATAAGAGATGAATTCGCTATAAATAATTATTTGTTATACAGTGAGCACCATTTGTAACGGATACATTCAATTTCTACGTTATTAGTCATTTTCAAGAAAACCCCTGAAACACGTCGAATTATGTATTCGAAAAGACACTCTGTGACATAAAAAATCCCTCCTCCTTCACCCCCCTCAACGTGACAGCGACCCCTCAAATTTTTTTAAATGCAAAAGGGGGTTAAGTGATACCTCATTTTGAAGGGTATTCATTTTTCTGTACAGCCATATCTTTATTTTTTAATTTCGTGCATGTGTTAAAAAAAACAATTGAATACATTGTTTTATCTAAATCATTCATCAAAGCGGTAGCAATCAATGTGCAACTAATGGAAGTCTTCAAATAAAATGTTCAAACTGACAACCATTTGTTTCTTGACAATAATAAAGGCGTTGCTGAAAGTTATCAACAACATCTTGAATGGTTTCGGGAGTGATACGTTCTATTTATTTTCTTATTGTGATTTGCAAACTTTCAATATTGTTTGGTCTATTGACGTATACTTTGAATTTTAGGTAACCCCACAAAAAGTAGTCAAGCGGTGTCATGTCGGGACAACGGGCTGGCCACTCTATGGCAGCGCTCCGCAACCCTGGGGTCGCGACCCCATGTGGGGTCGCGAAAGATATTTATGGGGTCGTCAAAAAAGTCAACATGGTCCTGTACTTATTAAAGCTCGCGCATTAAACAGTCGCCTTTTCAAAATAATGTGTCGCGAAATGGGATCAGAATACGAAAATCTACTGTTACATACGGAGGTCAGCTGGTTATCGCGAGGAAAAATACTCCAACGTGTATTTGATCTCAAAGATGGAATCAGTATAGTTCTATTTGAACGGGAACCAAAGCTAGCGGAATATTTCTTGAATGAAAATTGGCTGGCAATAGTTGGCTATCTTTGGGACATTTTTGAAAAACTTGATGATTTAAATCAATCGTTGCAAGGGAAGAGTACAAATGTATTGATTTTGGCTAACAAAATAAAAGCTTTTTGTAGGAAAATAAATTTGTGGATAGACGAAATCAGTGCTGAAAACTACGAGATGTTTGCATGTTTGGAGAAATTTTCTGAAGAAAACAATATAAATCTCGAAGAAGAAATTAAAACCAAAATCATCATGCATCTTACGAACCTTGAGCAAGACTTGGTAATACGATTCCCAGATACGTCACACGGCGACCAATGGATAATCAATCTATTCACTTGTGTTCTTAACAGTGTGAAGATGAACTCAAAAGAAAAGGAGCAGCTGATCGATTTATTGTCCGATGAAATCCTTCTATCTATTTTCAAAACCACGAATCTATCCAAGTTCTGGATAATGATGGAAAAGGAATATCAACTGTTATACAAAACACCTCTGCTGAAATTGCTGCCATTCGCATCTACATAACTGTGCGAGACAGCTTTCTCCACATTGACTGCTAGAAAAACAAAATATCGCTCCAAACTTAACGTAGAACCTGATTTAAGGGTGTCTCTTTCTGATAATATATCACCAAGAATTAATATATTGACTGCAAGGGTGCAACCACAAGGTTTGTAAACTTACGTTATATGTACCTATTTTTTTTTAATAAAATGTTAAAATAATTGCTTGTCTCATTCAATGCCATCATAAATATTATGTTAAATGCATATTTTCTAGTTTGCTCTAATATCACTTTCCAAAATAAATAAACTTTTCAACATAATTTACGAAATAAAAACAGCCCAGTACAACAAGGAGGATAATTGAGTTTAACTTGAGTTCGTTACCTGAATCAACCTTTGCACTTGTTCATTTAGTGATTTTTTTTTCTAGGGTCGCTCAAAACTCTTTTTTAATTTTGGGGTCGCAATATCAAAAAGGTTGCGGACCGCTGCTCTATGGCACCTCGTCTACCAATCCATCTATCTGTTGGGAAAAACTTCATTCAGATATGCACGAACGTCAGCTGCAAAATGTGGTGGAGCACCATCTTGCTGATACCAGATACTCCTATCTATTTGATTCGGATCATCATTATCTGGAAAAAGTCTTTTCGGCGTTGGAACTAATAAATTAGTCAAAAACTCCAAGTAACACTGGTTAATGTTTTGTTGAATTTTGCGATTATTTATAATCCCTGCCCAAACATTTAGTTTTCTGAGATATTCTGTGCGGCCTCTGTCATCCAATGGGGATTTTCTCGACTCCAATATCGGCAGTTCTGTCTGTTGACGGTTCCATTTAAAAAAAAGTTGACTCGTCGGAAAATAAGATATATTTTTTTTTAAACGAAGGATCTCGCAGAAACCTGGCATCCATTATTTCGCAAAACTCAGTTCTGCAATCTGATCGTCTTCGTTGAGTTCATGTACCAATTGTACTTTGTAAGGGTGATACTTTTCACTTTTAAAAACACGCAATATCGAAATTTGACTTATGTCGTAATCGGAGGCAATACACTCCTGCCTGGTTTTAAAATATCTCTGAGATCCCAAATTCACGAAATTTCGTTTCTATTTTACTAACGGTAGATTGAGAAATGTGATGATCAGGATATTTTTTATTGAACATTACACTTACATTTTTTTGGGTACTACTAGTTTTGTCCCCACATCCTAGTAGTATTTACACTTCTACTCTTTGACGTTCAGTCAAATGAGACATTGCTAGAACTTTTAGCCTATTGTCTGAAAGTAATACTGAACAAGAAACACAAACAACAACTGCAACACTGTTTCTCTTCAGCAAGTTCACAGAAAACATACACTTTTTTACTCAACTGTCACGGCTGACAAACAACGGTTGGTAAAAACAAACAAAAAAAATTGAAGGTGCATGGCATATTGTACAGCGGACGGATTCAATGGAATACCTACGTGATACCTTTCAACACTTTGAATTTGTTGTTTCATTATGATGCATGCACGAAATTAAAAAA